TGCCTTGCAAGTGCAAGGTCCTGAGTTCAATCCCTGGTACTGCAAAAAAAAAAAAGAAAAAAGGAGAAAAAATGAGTGTGATAAGTCAGGGTTAGACTATATTTGTCTTTTACTAACATAGAGTTAGGTATAGCGCTTCCTACTTGTTACTGAGAAAGTGCCCCAGGGCTGTTGTGCTCTGGGCCCAGAACTGTATCATGAGAGGCCAGCATGTGTCCATCCTGAGGAAAGCAATGCAGCCATCATCATGCCCTGGGCAAAGCTCCTCTGGAACCCCAAGTCCTGAAAGTCCTCTCTTCAGGAGATGGGTGAGGCTTTCCTATCTGATCCATATTAGGACTTGTTTTGTTTTGCTTCTTTGAAACAGGGTCTCGTTGTATAGTTCAGGCTGGCCTTGAACTATGTTCCCCAGGCTGGCCTCAAACTTGTGGTGATCCTCCTGCCTCAGCCTCCGAGTGTTGGGAGTACAGGCATACACCACAACACCTAGCTACTATTGTCTTTTCTGAACACTCCAGAATCTTTGCCAGTTCTCTATTAGACTTTCTTGTCCATTAATAATACTGATTTGTAAATACATAATCAAAAACACACTAAAATAGTTCATTTCCTTTATCTCAAAATCCTTACTTCTAGCTAAGGCAACATCAAAGTATGACACAAAAAGATGCTCAGGGAAGAATGATTTGTGATAGTGACAAACTGGGAAACTACTTCAAGATCCAACAGAAAAATATCTAACAGACCAGACAGATTACTCTGCAGCCATTTAAAGTTATAACCATATAGGGTTGGGCTTTGTCTCAGTGTTACAGCTTTTGCCATCATGTATGAGGTCCCAGGTTCCATTCTCAGCACCACAAAAAACCCAAAACCAAACCAACTAAACAAAACCCCCAAACCCTATAAGGTCAGTTCAATTACTTGGGAAAAAATCCTGCTATGTAGCTAAGTAAAAAAGATAAATAATATATACACTATTCTTAGAGTGATGTAAAATTGTTATATGAAACAAGCAGGGTCGGGGATATAGCTCAGCAGCGCAGCACCTGGCAAGTTCGAGGCCCTGAGTTCAATTCCTGGTACCAAAAAACAAACAAAAGAAGCAGAAGGTAATGTATCAAAGGGCAAAACACAACTTTATTAAGAATTATGGAGGGCCGGGGATTTAGCTCAGTGGTTCTGGCGCCTGCCTCGCAAATGCAAGTTCCTGAGTTCGATCCCTGGTACTGAAAAAAAAAAAGGTATAAGAATTATGGGCATTTGGGCCAGGGATTTAGCTCAGTGGTTCCACCACCTGCCTCTCAACCACAAGGTCCCAAGTTTGATCCCCGGTACCAAAAAAAAAAAAAAATTATGGGCATTTTATTTTTTTTTAATTTTTGTTTGTTTGTTCTTTTGAGACAGGGTCTCATTATATATTCCAGCCTTGCCTTGAACTCATGGCAGTTCTTCTGCCTTGGCCTCCTATGTGCTGGGATTGCAGGCATGCACGACCACAATGGGCTACACTTTGAGTTTTAATCTTCTTCTGGCCTAGTAATATGCTATTTGAGCCTCTTTTGAAATGTTGGGCAGTGGCAGTGAGCAGCTCCCAGGCAGCCCTACTATCTGAAAAAGAAATAATCTATATCCTGCAGTGCTAAGCTGTGATGTTTGGTAGGTTGTGGAAAAAAATCCATTTTTAACTTACAATATTTTCAATTTATGATTGGTTTATCAGAACATTACCCAATTTTAAGTCAAGGACCACCTGTACTGTCTTCCTGAGTGAGCAGAACCCCAGAACAGGATTTGTACTGTCAAGAACCATTCTATATAATTTCGGGGAAAAATCATCTCATAATTAAATTATGATTAGAGCTGTCTGAGGCCTAATGTCTCCTTGCCTGTGAGCCAGCTATGGCATTTGGAAACATAATTCTGTGTGCCTCTGGTCACAAGTTGAGGGCTCAATGATCCCGAGATGCTAAGAGGCTCACAGACAATATTACATCAGCCGAAGATATCCTGGTAACTTGAGGACCAAGTAGTAATAAAAAAAAGAGAAAGGTTTCACCTGGGGGAAGGACAAATTCCTTCGTCCCACCTACTACTGTGAGAATGCTTTGCCCATCTCACCGTCCTAATCAACCTAAGATCCTCATCAACATAATATTACTGCTGCCCTCTGAGTCACCCAATACTCCCTCTGATTATTGGGTGCATCCAATAAATAGTGGCTAGCTTGGAGTGTTTTTATCTTTGCCCACTCTGGCATTGACCTCCCAGCTCCCTGTGTACTTAGTAATTGTCTTTCTTTGTGGACCCTCCAATATTGTACAATAGCCCCACGTGGGATAGCCATGGAGCTAATCACCTCCCTGGGCCCTGTGGTGCAGCCTCCACTCTGACCTGAGCCAAGTGGTGCCAGCAGAGGTCCTGTAGGGCAGCCTCCATAGCCTACTGCCCAGCCTGCCCAACCCTGGCCAGCGATGCCAAGCTTCCAGATACACCTTTGCCCCACTGCACCCATCTTCTTGGATCTAGCACCCAGGATGGGTGCTCCCAGCTTCCCACCAGGGACTAAATATTAAGGCGGGATCCTGGCAGGTCAAGACCTGGCTGCACTGGTCTGGGGCCATGCTGGGACTGCTGAAGGGACACCCCTGGTCGAGTTGACATTAACAAGTGACCATGCACCAGAACTACTCACAAGAGACTATTCACAAGCAATTCACTTTTTCCCAAATGCTCACGTTCAAGATTGTTCTCCCCTCCTGGGATATAATGTTCACATGGAAGTAAGAACTAGAACTTTAATTCTTTTGTTGATTATTATTCTAAACATCAACGGTTTATAGAAGAGATTCCTGATTGAAAACAGGCAGGAGCCCATCCCAGAACCCGACAGCTGACCCACTCTCTTATCTGCAAGCAAGATGCCCCTTGTCAATGACCTCCAGACCCATCAAGGAAGACAGGATGATAGAATGTCCTCAAATGGCCTCAAGTCCCTTCTCCTGAAGTGTGCCCCATCCCGGGGAGCTCTAACACTAGGGTCCTGGCTGGTGGATCTGAGCACGGTCATGTGAAAGGCTTTGGCATCTGGAGGAACAAGTGGTCTGGCTCTAGGAGCCCAGGCGAGGTAACAGTGCCTCACTTGTTGGGTAGCTCAGGCAGTGGCTTTCTCCTGTGAAGAAACAGCACCTCACCTTAACTGTCAGGTTTCCTCCCCAGGGAGAAATTCCTGCTAGGTGGGGGCTGCACCACACACAAGAGCTTTGCCACATCCAATGCATTTATTGGGTCCACGTCCCCCACCCCTGAGTCCTCCACACCCAACAGACTGCCAGGCATGTAGTAGGTGCTCAGCAGGTGTCTGTTGAACTGGATGGCAATGGGCTTCTCTTCACCATGCAGCAGTCTCTGGTGTTCCAGGAGGTGTGAGCTCCAGCTGAACATTTCCCCACATTTGTTACATTTAAAGGATTTCTCCCCAGAATGAACCTTCTGGTGTTTAATAAGACAGTGGTTCTGGCTGAAAGCTTTGCCACACTCATGGCATTTATAGGGCTTCTCCCCGGTGTGGATGCGCTGGTGCACGATGAGGGACGAGTGGCAGCTGAAGGCTTTCCAGCACTTGCTGCAGTCGAAAGGCTTCTCCCCAGTGTGGATGCGCTGGTGCACGATGAGGTAGGAGTGCGAGCTGAAGGCCTTCCCGCACTCATTGCATTTAAAGGGCTTCTCCCCGCTGTGGATGCGCTGGTGCACGATGAGGTACGAGTGGCAGCTGAAACCTTTCCCGCAGTCAGTGCACTTGAAGGGCTTCTCGCCAGTGTGGATCCTCTGGTGGAGAGTGAGGCGCGAGCGGTTGTTGAAGGCCTTTTCGCACTCAGTGCATTTGAAAGGCTTGTCCCCGTTGTGGATCTTCTCGTGCACGGTGAGAGACGAGTGGCAGGTGAAGGCCTTGCCACACGTGCCACATTTGTAGGGCTTCTCGCCAGTGTGGATGCGTTGGTGGCGGGTGAGGTGCGTGCGCTGGTTGAAGGCCTTGCCGCACTCACCACACTTGTAGGGCTTCTCGCCTGTGTGCACGCGCAGGTGCATGTTGAGCAGTGAGCTGCAGCTGAAGGCCTTCTCGCAGGCGCTGCATTTGTAGGGCCTCTCGCCTGTGTGGATGCGCTGGTGCACATTGAGGGACGAGTGGCAGCTGAATGCCTTCCCGCACTCGCTGCAGAAGAAGGGCTTCTCACCCGTGTGGATGCGCTGGTGCTCAATGAGGTTGGTGCTCCAGGTGAAGGCCTTGTCGCACTCACCACACTTGTACGACTTGGTGCGGCCGTGCCAGCGCCTGTGCAGGGCTAAGGACGTGCTCTGCGGGAACGTTTTCCCGCACTCAGCGCACACGAAGGCATCCGCTCCAGGGCCTGCCCCACACGGCCTGGACTTGAGGGACCTTTCTCCCGGGCATGTTCTCTGCTGGTCTCTGGTGACTGCCCCAGTGGACTGGATGTCCAAGGTACGCCTGGCAGGTGAGTGTCCTCCCAAAGGGGCACTCTGCTGGGTGAACAGAGAGCACTTGAGGGGGGAGCCTTCCTTGGAGTTATTGTGTCCCCGATATCTCTGCTCTGTGGAGATGTCCCTGAGGGTGGCATGTACTTGCTCCCACTGCTCAGCCTGGGTTCTCCACACTACTGTTGAGGCCTCCCATGCCGTGCTGAGGCTGGGTCTATGAAAGCTGTGCCTGTTCAGCTCCCCCATAACTGCCTCCTGAGATGGTTCTTCTTTGCAAAATTCCTCCTTCATCTCAGGTGCAGGGCCCCATTCTGTAACAGATTGAAAACAGAATTTTCTATGAGCAGCCAGAGGCAGGGCCATGGAATGCACACTGGACAGCTGACCTGGAGGAGCAGACAAGCTCAGAAAAAAGTAGATACCAAAAGGGCCAAAAGAGCTGGAAGACATGAAGGCAGAGGGACAAAGAGGGTTCCCATGTGAGGTACAAGATGGAAGGAAAGAGGAAAACAGAAGGACCTGCCAGAGAGCACAAAGATCCAGCCAAGGGAATCCCAGAAAGAGCAGCTTCAAGTGGGTACTAATGGGATCGAGAAATGGACACAGCTCATGGAGTCCAGGAATCAGGATAGGACCCAGTCATTGAAATGTCCACTGATTGACCACTGATTGGCTATTATGAGACAATACCATGTCAGGTGCAGGGTAAACACAGCCTGAAGAAATGGTTAAAGATTTCCCAGGTGCCAAAGGGAAAGAGGATTCCCTCTGCACAGCTTCTGTTTAAGTATTTCCTCCAGAACATTTGGAATTATAAATACTTGTCTAGCTCTGAGATGCATGGACATCTTTTTAGAGGAAAATAAGCCTCTTGCCAACTTTGCATCTGAGAACATCTTTCATGAAGGCTCCCTGTCAGATGTGGAGAAGGGTGGTCTCCCACCTCCCTGTCTGTGGAGGGGTTTAATTCAAGATGTAACTTCCTGACGGGTGTGGTGGCACATGTGGGCTGAGGCAGGAGGAGCGTCATGAGTTCAAGGCCAGCCTAGGCTCCACAGTGAGTTCAAGGCCAGCCTGAATTACATGAGACCCTGTCTAAAAAAAAAAAAAGGAACTTCCTGCTTTCTAAAAAAGACCCAAGCAGTTGCATTTCCCTTGGAGGAAGCCAGCTGATAGCCTGTGATGGGGTGGATCCATCTGGCTCTGTAACGGGGCCTGAGATGTTGCATCACATTAAACACATTCAATAATGAAAAAGTTTTCCCCCTTCTACTTCTATGGAGAAGTGTTCTGGGCTGGTGAATGTTTTATTTCTAATTCTATCTTCCCAACAGCTTCAAGGAGCACAGTCTAGCATGGTGGGCAGAGCTGCCTTGCTGTGTAGCATGTGCCCCTGACCTGCCCAGAGGAGCTAGGCAGGCAGAGCAGGCCCTGGAGAGGTGAGGTAGGCAGCCAGGAGAAGTGGATGGAGGAGGACAGCCTGCTGCCAAGGGAACCCCACATGCACAGACTCAGAGGCAAGAGAGAGTAAAAGAGAATGAGATGTGCAGAAGGGTGCAGGGCCAAAAGGTGGACAGGTGCCAGGTGATGAAGTGGCTGAGGCAGAATGAAGACTTTCTGTTTGTTTGGTTTTTTTGGTACCGGGGATCAAACTCAGGACCTTGCACTTTCGAGGCAGTGGAACCACTGAGCTAAATCCCTGTCCCAGAATGAAGACTTTCTAAACAGAGGCCGATGTGATGATTAAGGTGCATCTTAAAGATGGTTCTGGTGCTGAGCAGAGCTGGTGAGCAGACCAGTTAAAGAAACCAGGAGAGACAGGTGTGGTAGCACATGCCTGTAATCCCAGCACTCAGGAAGCTGAGGCAGGATGGCCATGAGTTTGAGATCAGCCTGCACTATAGGTGAGACCCTGTCTCAAAAAACCAAAAAGAAGAAGAAGAAAAAAAAAGAAACCAAGAGAATAATCCAGATGAAAAATGGCATTTTCAGACTGCCATGGCTGTGAGAATGAACACAAAGTGACAGGCTCAAGAAATATTTAGGAGCTAACACTGTGCTTTTTGCTCACTGAAGGTGGCAGGAGCGGGGCAAAGGAGAAGGCAAAACCTCTGCCAACACTCAGGCCTGGGTGAATGATGGAAGCTTCCATAAAGACAGGGACAGAAAGCAGAAGTACCTGTCTACTTCTAGGCATATGGAATGGGGCCAGCCAATAGACATGAGAGCAGACGCCTACCCAATATTTAGCAACATGGGGCTAGAGCTCCCAAGGTGATAGTTTATGTCACTACAGTGCAGGCAAGGCCACCACCAAGCAGATGGTAAGGATCCACAGAAGTTGTACAGAAAAAGAGAGGTCAGGTACAGAAGTGTCCACCTATCGTCTCAGGACTCAGGAACGTGAGGCAGGAGGACTGCTTGAGTCAAGGAGTTTGAGAGCAGCCTGGCAACACAGTGAGATCTGTGGCTCAGATCAGTAAAAAGTAGTTATGGCAGCAATCAGAAATAATAGGGCACATCCACGTAACAAGACACTATGCAATCAGTAAAAAGCACATGATGATACCCAGTGTGTCATGGTGAGTAAAGAAAGCAAGATTCTAAAGTGTACAGTGAGATCAAGGGTATATTTTTAAAATATCCACATACATTAAGTCATTCCTTAATATTCTCAGGGGATTAGTTTCAGGACCTCTCTCAGACACTAAAAATCTGTGGATGCTCCAGTCCCTTACTTAAAATACTGTGTGTGTGTGTGTGTGTTCCCAGTGCTGAGGCTGGAACTCAGGGCCTTATGCATGCTAGGCAAGTGCTCTACCACTGAGCTATACCTCCAGCCCCTAAATAATGTAATATTGCTTATAATTTACCTATATCTTTAAATCACCTCTGGATTACTTGTAATACCTGACACAATGTAACTGCTATGTAAATAGTTGTTATATCGCAGTGTTAATGACAAGAAAGTCTACACATGTTCAGGACAGTTAATATTTTTTTTCCAAATATTTTTCATCTGAGGTTGGTTGAACCTGCAAATGTGGAAGCTGCAGATATGCCGGGCCGCTACACAGTGGAAAAACTGAGAGGAGATATAGTGAAATGAAATGGTGGTGATCTCTGGGCAGAAAGATTAGGTGGGGATTTCAAAACTTCTCTGTATTATCCTAATTTTCAGGATATACCTCTATTAATAGAATAAAAACAATTTTTTTTTTGCAGTGCTAGGGATGGAACCCAGGGCCTTGCACCATTGAGCCAAACCCTCAGCCCACATTAATTTTTTTAAAATTGTGAATATGTTTTGCTTTTTTTGGAGACAGTATCTTGCTATGTAGTTCAGGCTGGTCTTGAACTCACTATATAACACAGGCTGGCCTCAAATTCATAGTGATCCTCCTGCCTCAGCCTCCAGAGCACTGGGATTACAGGTGTGCACTACCATGCCCAGCTCTAAAAATGTCATTTTGATAGAGGATGAAGAGGGCAACCAAAATTGGAGCAAGAAACAAAGTCTATGAAGAGGGGGCTGTGGCCACTTTTGTACTGTGGAGGTTTGGGGGTTTGAGGGTATGGAAGAGGAGGTGGGGGTGAGGAGCACAGAAGCCCTCTTCGTCTCTGTACCCATCCACCTGGCCCTGGCACACACAGCCCTGTATTTAACTGATCCTTGATCTGTCTTTCCCACAAAGATCTGTTTCTCAAGCTTTCCAGATGCACTCAGCATTCACTGTCCACTAAATTAAGTTGAAATTAATTCACTCACTCATTAATCAACTCAGAAGAGAAGTTTCTAAAAGTGAAATGTTTGAGAAGAGAAGTTTCTAAAACTGAAATGTTTGAGAAGAAAAGTCCCTAGGTTCCTGTCCTGTTCAGGGCCTGTCCATGACCCTCTTTCAGTGGAAGAAGGCCAGTGTCCCTGCTGTGGCCTTGCTGACCAGGCCATGCCCCTGCCTGGTACTGCAGCCTCTCCCTCTGACTGCTCACTTCTCCCTACCACCTCTTCTCAGGGAGCAAAGCCCTGACTCCAGGTCTCCAAGTCTTCAATCCTCTAACAAATGCCACTTGTTAAATCTTTACCTAAACACAGACGCTTTCTGCCTCCCACTCCTCATCAGAAGGCAGGTGTTCTGGCTGGTTCTGTTCACTGCTGTATTCACAGTACACTTTCTGGTTCACAGGTGCTCAATACACGTTCAAGGAAGAAAGGAGGAGGTGGGGGGTAGTGGTCTAGCAAGGACACAGGGAAGGCACAGATGGAGCCAAGACAGTGGCACTGAGGAAGGGAACAGGAGCTGAGATGGGCAGGGGATATGAGCGGGGGAGGGAGGGTGTGGGATGCCAGGGGGGCCAAAGGACCGACCTCTTCTACCTATGTCAACTGCTCACCTGAACAAGCCCCTCCAGAGCCTTCCCTGTACACTCGCCATGGCTCCTCTCCTCGTTCCAGATGGGAGATCACATCTGGCTTGCAGACTGGAGGCCCTGCTCATAGGGGAGAAAGCAGCAGGGCTAGGTGCACTGCAGCTCTCCAGCCTAGCTGTCCTCCTGGGATAACCCATGAACGTTGACAAGCTATTACAAAGGATGCACCATCCCCGGGGAACAGGAAGCTCTCTGGGCCTCAAAGTAGGGAGGGGTCTTAGACACTGAACCAAAGTGCTAGCATGCTCCGAAGACTCCATGAGACACCTCCCTCTGCTCCCTGAGGAAAGCTTCATGGCAGATGGGCTCCAAGTCTGCCTTCTTTTCCCCAGCAGCCCTCCCTCACTGTGCTCCCCATTCTGGGACCAGCTACAGTTCCAAGTAAGGATGCCGTTAGCTACCCTGCTGGATCTTGGGGACTTTAGGTGTGGCTGAACCCCCTGGCCCAGGTGTCCTGAGGCAGAGACCTCATTTTCCAACTCATGCCATGTCGGGTATCAGCACTAACACAAGGAAGAAGGCCTGAGAGCAGACACCAGCCTTGGGAGTCACCATACCCAAGGCAACAAGGTTCTGGTAGTTCTCTAGCATCACATCCCGGTACAAGGCCCTCTGAGGAGAGTCCAGTTGACCCCACTCCTCCTGGGTGAAGTCCACAGCCACATCCTTGAATGTCACCGATTCCTGAAATGATACACACAGGACAGGAGTGATTCTGTGTCCACAGTTCCTAGGAAGCCACAGATTGATTAAGGACCTTATGAGGAAAGAGTTAACCTGAGTGATCTCCCAAGCATGGAAGGTTGTGCTGTACATGCTGACCCTAGCAGGCCGAGGGCTGGAGCTGGTGGTGCTGAGAATTGACACACACACCCTCCCCCCACAACTTTGGAAATGGAAAGTGAGGCTGAATAGACACCATGGCACCCTGGAAAGTCTATGTGTACTGGTATCTGTGCATGGCTGCTATACCATGTCCTGGGTTAGAGGCTATGTTTTCTGGGATCAAGAACTTCACATGTAAAAAAAAACTTGAAAGAACTATAAAAAGAACCCAGCAACTCTCTTCAAAATGTACTATGGGGCCAGGGATTTAGCTCAGTGGTTCCCGTGCCTCTCTCAAAAGCGCAAGGTCCTGAGTTCGATTCCTGATGCCCAAAACAAAAAACCCCCCCAAAACCAAAATGTACTACTGCAGTTAAGATCCAACTCCAGACCGAAAATCATCATTATACTCTAATGAAGGAATCTTTATATCAGCAAATTCTGTGTCCCCAGGGACCAACAGAGAGGCCCCCGCTGTCCTCACCTGACTGCCTTCCTCTGCCTATCTCACACCTGCCTACTTTCCATGTTCGTTTTTTTTTTTGGTACCGGGGATCAAACTCAGGACCTTGGGCTTTTGAGGCAGTCACGGTGCCACTGAGCTAAATAACCAGCCTTTCCATGTTCTTGTTAGGGCAAGCATCTGGTCACTACTCTACCTGGGACTTGCTTTGGTTCTTCTTTTTTTTTTCACTTGCTTTGTTTCTTGTAAAGATCAAACCGATGTCAAGTATTTACATTCTAGGATGAATTCCAGAAATATTTAAAGAATTCCAAAAAGAAAACCCCAGCACCCAAAAAAGTAAAATTTGCAATGTTTACCATCCAATTGAGTTACTAAGATGAAAAAAAAATTGATTAAAAAAATCACAAGGAATTAAGAGAATTAGTAAAATAGTGTTTATTTACCTCAAAAAAGGCATTAAAGAATCATATAGGAGCACACAGTGAATTTACAAGAAATTACTTGTTTGCATCCCTAATATCTAAGAGTCTTACTTTTTACAGTTATCTAAAATACAACAGACACCTGAATTCCTATCAATTGTATATAGCATCTAGGGCCAACAGTGACATCAGTACTGGAGTTTAAATATATTTTACCTTACATTGTAACATAAAACGATCTCAATTGAAAGCCCATAGTTTACTACTGGAAGAAGACTTAAAAGTTTTCTGAATAACTTAAGAATCATAGGTAACATTGTAAAACAAAGTAAAAACTCTTTTGAAACAATCATATTTTATGTTTAATTTAGATATTAAGACACATGAGATAATGCCAAAGAACATAGACTCTGACACCAGATAACCTGGAATTGGATTCTAAAACTGCAACTGTTAATTACTTAATCTCCCTGTGGATTAGTTTCCTTATTTTCAAAAAATTATTTATTTTATTTATTTTTATTTTTAATGTTTAGGTTTTTATTGTTGTTTTGGTTTTTTTGAGACAGTGTCTCACCATGTAGCCCAGGCTGGCCTTGAACTCACAACATCCTCCTGCTTCAGCCTCCCAAATGCTGGGATTACAGTCGTGTACCACCACACCCCGATTCATGTACTGCCTTTGTCATGATTCTTTGAGTGTTTCATAGAACTACAGATCATTCTAACATCCTAGAAGCGAGGCCTGTCTCTCAATATGAATTTCAGTTTTCTGTAAAATTGGTGTTCTACCTTTCTGTAATCAGATCTCAATTGGATCTGAATCAAATCTTTCAATTGGAAGATGAACAGAATCACAAAATCCTGAAAAGCATTCAAAAGGCCCTCAACCCTCCACTTCACTACCCCTTTATTCTCCTTGTCACCTATACCCTTGTAAATTCTACCATAAGGTAGGGGTGGTTTTGGTGGCAGAAAAAAGAGAAGCAAAGTTCAAAAGCTGTAAAGAAGGGATCTGGGAACCACCTATCAGCAGAAATGGCCTAGGGCTAATTCCTAATTGACCCCAAAGATTCTCTAAACCTCCAGGTTTTTCCATGAAAGCCCTTCACCAGGGATTTGGTACAGAGGAAAGCACATAGTGATACTTCCCCTACCATCACTCTTACTCCAGTGCTTCCAAATGCCCTTGCCTGATTCCATGACAACAAACACCTCCAAACATCCCCTGGGTCTGCAACAAGCCCTGGCCAGCATATGGAGATGGGCAAAGTGACTTCATGTGAACTGGCATCTACTTGATCACCCCTCAGAGCTCCCAGCACAGCTCTTGGTATACAGGTCCTGGTGTCTGATCCACCCATCGAAGTGAATGAGAGGTCATCTCACGCAGATACCTGGGGTGTCATCCAGACTGTCTTCAACTGGAGCTGTTCTCACTGCCCAGAAGTTTCTGAGCACTGAAAAGCAGGTTCCAAGGTGGGGGTCCAAGGCTGATTGGAGATCGAAGAACAGGGGGGAAAAAATGTGCAAACCCTTTTCCTAAAGGAAGAAAAGAGCCACTCACCTCAGATCTGGCTTCCAGGAGACCCCAATCTGATTTATTCTCTGGATTCTCTTTGGGGAAAAGAGTAAGGTCCTGAGTAAAGAGAGCTGGGGATGGAGAAATGAATCAAAGGGGCTGTTCTCCCACAGCCACCACCCAGGTAAAGCCTACCCAGCCCAGGCAAGACAGGAATTAGAAAAGGGAGGAACTACTCAGGCATGTCTAGAGAGGAGTGAGTCTCAATATCTGGCAGAGTCAAATACAGCATCGGAGATTAGTTCTGCCTCTCAGTGTCCCGGATACTGTAAGAGGAAATGCTACCATTCCTTTCCTCCTATCAGCATGTTTGACAGTGGGAACAACAAAGCAGGCCACCCTAGCCGGTGCTTCTGGGAAACTAGCCTGACCTCAGTAAGTCTCCTCAAATGTAAATCCACCAACCCAGCGACTAAATGAGCGAAACAGTACCTGTCTCCTCCAGCTTCAGGGCCGGAGTCTCCATGACGCCTCTCAGCAGCGCCCCCTGGAGGAGTGGGCAGCTCTGCAGCCTCCAGGGCCGCAGGTCAGGACCCAGGGAGCGAGTCCTGCTTCTGGAGCTCGGGAATAGCGGCCTGTAGTGCAGCCTCGCACGGTCACACACACGCTCGCGGCAGCAACACCCCCACACGGAGCCCCCTCCCCGCGCCCCGGCTGAGTCAGGCTCAGGCAGGCTCAGCCAACACACCACTCGCCATACCGGGGCTCGCGATCCAGCACATCCGCTCGCAGACACACCCACATCGGGTCGCGGCGCGTCCCCTTCACACACGCGCCGTGTCACCCCGTAACACACTTCTGCAGGTCAACTCACGCGCGGGGACCAGGCCCAGGCCCAGGGCGGATGGACAGTCCAATGAACTCTCAGACCGACAGGCGAACGAACGAGCGGATAGACCTTCTACAAAAGGACAGCGATAGCCACAAAGAGCAGCCCAGCCGCCGCCGCGGGAAAGTGCGCCTGCGCCGATCGAAGGCGAACTACTACTCCCGAGAGCTTTTGCTTTGCTCAGGCTCAGAGCTTCCTTTCCCAAGGGCTCCAGGCAGGGGCAGGACACACGAAAGTGTAGCACAGCCTTTTGGGAAATGTAGTTCTGGAGCCGTCGAGCTCTCCGCACCCGCTTAGTTCCTTGGTGGAGAAGAGGCTCTGCATTTCTACACAGGGTCGTGCGGGGCGGCTGCAGGTGTGTGTGCGTGTGCGTGTGCTTCTGCGTGTATGTGTGTTTGTAATTCCTGGGTTATCTGGAGAGTGGCGCAGGTGGAATTTGCCTGTCAGATCGTCTGTGTCTTCAGGTTAGTCGGTGGGCTCCACATCTTTCTGAAAGAAAAGCCCAGGCCCCTGGCGCTAGGAATACTGGCAGAGGCGGATCGTCCCTTGAGGGGGTTCCCCGCCGCTCCCTCTGGAGCCAAGCACCTTAGGACCGCGGGAGGGGCCCCAAAGTTGACAGAATCCCCTACCTGTTCTTAGGCCGGTGGCCCTGACCACAGTCCACCCTCAGGCTCAGGGGAGGGTCTAGGTAGCAGTCCAGTCTTGGCCCAGTGACCAAACACTGCCATCATCTGCCTCTTTTTTGTTTTGTTTTGAGACAGGATTTCATTTTGTGGTTCAAGCTGGCCTTGATCCAACTACATAGCCTAGGCAGGCCTCAAATTTGTGGCAATTCTCTTGGCTCACCTCTTGTCTACTGGGATAACAGGCATGTGCCACCACACCAGGCTCATCATCCCCCATTTTGATTCCAGGTTCAGTTTTGGCCATAACCTCTATGCAGCCACCACCATACCTGTGTGCCAGAATCTCCCCTGTGGTGGCTAGCATCAAGCATGGCTCCAGTAATTCTTGTCTCCTGGTTTCACAACTTATATGCTATTTCCCATACTGCATAGAACTGAACAAAAATATAACTATATATATATATATAAATATAATATAATATGTAACAAAAATAATATTGTATCGCCAGGCGTGGTGGTGCATGCCTATAATTCCAGCACTCAGGAGACTGAGGCATGAGGATCGCTGTGAGTTCAAGTCCAGCCTGGGCTACATAGGAGTTCAAGGCCAGCCTGAATTACAGAGCAAGACCCTGTCTCAAAAAGCCAAGATGATAATAATAATAATACTGTGGGGATATTGGTGTGTGAATCATGAAGCTAGGTCACAAAAGTACTGCCCCTTCTTCCTTGCTCTCTTGGATCACTTGCTGTGGGGAAAATGAACAGCATGCCCTAAAGACTCTAGAGCAATCTGTGGAGATATCTGCATGGCAAGAAACTGAGGCTTCTTTCTTCCAGGCTCCACCAGCTTGCCACCCACAAAAGGGATTGACTTTGGAAATGGAGGCTTCAGTCCTCAATGATATCTTGATTGAAACCTCATGAGAAGCCCTGAGCCAAAACAGTACCTATAACCAGACATGGTATAAAATAAAGTTTCATGCCTTAAACTTATTTGATGGGAGGGTTCTTTGTTGCACAATAGTAGATAACAAATACAGATAAAAAAATTTTAAATAACTAATGTTGATAACTAATTCCAGTATTTGGAAATAGCGTTAATATTTTTTAAAAGTGGAAAAACACTATACAGGGAGAAATCCAGCAATGTGCAGAAGCCAGAAAAACTTACTTGAGAAGAGTGTTAGGAAAAGCACAAATGCCTTTGAAGGATCTATTAGTGAAAGTCTGGTGGTCTTTGAGGAGGCTTAGATGAAAGGAAGGCTTAAAGGAAAGGGAGGACAATGTGTTTCAGAAATCAGAGGTAAGGGAATCCCTATCTGGATTATCCTTATCCTACTTGGCAGAAAGGTAGCAATGATTACCTCCAGTAACATAGAAAGTAGAAAATACACCTAATGAAGTGCAACCACTGTGGAAATCAGTGTGGAGATTCTGCAAAAAACTAAAACTAGAGGGTCCATTCAACACAGCTGTTCCCCTTCTGGGTATCTTCCCAGAATAATTAAAAGCATCATATTACAGCAATATATGCACACCTCTGTTTACAGTGGCACAGTTTGTAATAGTTAAATTTTGGAAACAGCCCAAATGTCCATCAATTGATGAATGGATAAAGAAAATATGGGTTTTAAAAAATACAGTGGCGTACTACTCTGCCATAAAGAAGGGATACGCTTGAGACATTTCTAGCTAAATGGATGCACCTTGAGACCATACTCCTTTTTGTTTGTTTGTTTGTTTGGTATCAGGGATCAAACTCGGGACCTTGTGCTTGCGAGGCAAGCAGAGACCATACTCTTAAGTGAGATAAATCGGACACACATGTTTAAATACCACATTGTTTCTCTGGTGTGAGAAACCGTAAATGGAAATAAGGAGCAAAATGTGTAACAGATATTGGGAAATGGGAAGAAAATGTTCAAATGAGAAGAGGAACAAGGGAGGGGGGAGGGAGAAAGAAAAGAAAGGACAAGGAAAAAAAGAAAATAGGAGGGAAAAAATGGCCATTCCTTAATAAATTAAAAATGACATCTGCCATTTTGAAAAGCTGGGATATTTCAATCTTGGAAATTCCTGGCTATTATTTATTTATATATTTGTTTGAGTCAGGATCTCATGAGCTGCTGATGGAAAGCAGCAACTTCTTTGGAAAACACTGGCAGTTATTCAAGAGGTTAAACACAGTTACCATATGACTCAGCAATTCCTACTTATTAGAACCAAGATAATTAAAACCCATGTCCACCCAAAACCTTGCACATCAATATTCAAGGCAGTATTATTCATAATAGCTAAAAAATGGAAACAACCCAAATGTCCATCAAATGATAAATGGATAAATAAAATGTAGAATAGCAATGCAATATTCATGGATAAGATGGAGTATTGCTACCTACTGTAACACAGATAACCTTGAAAACATTGTTAAGTGAAAGAAAACAGACACAAAAGGCCATGTATTTTATGATTCCATTTATTTAAAATATCCAGAATATGTAAAGGTATACAGAAAGAAAGTAGATTAGTGGTTGCTGAAAGGGTTGGTTCTATGTGCCAAAGTAGCATATTGATTATTTTGAGCTAAAAGAAACTGAGAACCAGCCAGTGCAGAAAAACCTCTTTACCAGGGCCAGGGATTTAGCTCAGTGGTTCTGCTGCCTGCCTTGCAAGTGCAAGGACCTGAGTTCGATTCCCGGTACCAAAAAAAAAAAAAAATGACCTCTTTACCTCTGCCTCAACTGCCTAAAATAAAATGAATTTTTCTCTTACGTAAAGGAAATTTACACTTATAAAAGAGATTTTCATTAGTAAAACCATCTGTTTCAGGTAGAGATGCCACAAGGCAACCTTGTCAGCTGAAGTGAACAAAGTGACGATCTTTCTTTCTTTCTTTCTCAGTGCTGGGGATTAAATCCAGGGCCTTTGCACTCAGCTACCTCCCCAGCCCTTTTTTATTTTTTTAATTTTTGAGACAGTTTCACTAAATCACTAAATTGCCCAGGTTGGAATCAAACTTGTGATCTTCTTACCTCAGCTTCCTGAGTGCTGGGATTACAGGTGTGCATCACCATGCCCAGCTCGTTCATTATATATATTTCTACCCTTACTTTTGTATAATTTATCTCCACTACTATAATTTATCTCTTCCAAAAATGCTAGGCCTCTATTTCTTTCTGTAGCTCAGGATGGTAAGACTCAATCATCTGAGTACTTCTATGAGTTTCCTCACATATACATATATAATTAAACTGTTTTACACAAACCTACTTCTTAGAATAGCTACAAAACCTAGAAAGCATTTTTGAGCTTTTTTTGGGGGGTACCGGGGATCAAACTCGGGTCCTTGTGCTTGCGGGGCAGGCGGTGAAACCACTGAGCTAAATCCCTGGCCCTAGAAGACATTTTTCTTCTGCATTTCCTAGTACCAGTGCCCTTGGGAAAACAAAGAGTGATTGCTAATATTTATGGGTTGATTTTTATTTTGTTTTGTTTTGGGAAGGACAATGAATATATTCTAAAATTGTAGTGATAGTTATGTAATGTGACTACTAAAACTCATTGAATTGTACCCTATAAATGCATGAATTGCAAACTATATCTGCATAGATCTTTTATTTTACTTTATTTTGGCACCAGGGATCAAACTCGGGTCTTTGTGCTTGCACAGCAGGTGGCGAAACCACTGAGCTAAATCCCCGGCCCTTTATTTTATTTTTAGTAGGAAGAATTTATTGAAAGAAAGATAGCTTCTGTCTAAGAGAGACAGAAGGGGGACCAGAAAGTAAATTGCCCTGCATAGACCTTTTAAATGTTTAAGAAGATGAGATTATAGCAGGCATGGTGCCCCAAGCCTGTGATCCCAGCTACTTAGGAGCCTGAGGCAGGAGGACTGAAAGTTCAAGGCTAACCTGGGAAACTTAGCAAGAAAAGGGTGGAGGGCGAGTGGCTGGAGGTGTAGCTCAGGGGTAGAATGACCCTGGGTCCGAGGATTTAGCTCAGAGGTGCCGCCACCTGCCTGGCAAGCACAAGGTCCCGAGTTTGATTCCCCAAAACAAAACAAAAGATGAGGTTGTAAAATTGCTAACCCCTTCAGAGGCTCTAAAGTCATGCCTCATGGACCATTCAAACCACAGGATTGTATAAAGCTTAAGTGTGTTGTACCTTGGCAAGGTGAGCAAAGCCCAAGGTAGAGAAGGGCTTATCACAAAGAGATTTGGTGGTGTGGGGTTTTTTGTCTATTGGAGTAAACCACAATAATACTCACAGGAGACTCACACTAATTTTAGGAGAATTAGAATGCCTTCATCTTCACTATGAGGTTGTCTTTTCCTGCTTGTACACTAGATTTGTTCTGAGGCCCTTTCTCATTTTGAGGACCCTATTGTGGCTCAAAAAACTGGCCTAGATCCTTTACCTATCTTCTCAATGCTACTTGAAAACTGAACAGATCCTTTAGTAGTTTGTCTATTCTCTCAATTTATTGTGGGCAGGTAGAAACTAGGTGGC